ATACCCACTATAGCTGAACAGCGTTGATCGCTAATTCGGTCTATTGCGATCCTCTCAGGATTCATGATAATACTATTACCAGTTTAAAGCTTCTAAGGATTAAATAATACAATTAGGCCTATTTATCTTGGCAATCCAAGTTGAAGCGATGGTTTCCAAAGTAGGCCTACTTCCTTATACAGTATACAGTCTCGCTATGGTTTAAATAACTTTAACATGATAATTGATTAAAAACATCATATGGGAATTAAGCTATCATATGCATGGGCGCAGATGCAACCCTCCCCCCACCCCCACCCCAACCAACACATATTTTTATTGGGGGTTGTCCCCTTCGCTTTTCGGCGGCAATGTGATTTCATAACCCAAGAAGATGCCTGAAAATTGTTTAAATGAACTGCATAAATGACCCAGCTTTTAACGAAAGAGCCCTGTACAGCCAGAATACATTTTATCTTATAGCTAGATAACGGTATCTCTGCCCACAACATATCTGAATTACTTATACACGACTCGAGTGCTCGTGACTTTTTATTATAATTTGAGAAGTATCAGAAAAAGAGTGTAAGGTAAGACTAGTTTTCGGCAAATGAAGTAGGTAAGGTAAAGTGAATACATGAAAGACAATATTTTAAAGTGTTATTTTCTATAGTACCGTACATCACACTTAATTAGATTTCTGGCTGCCGAAAATCAGATAAAATATCATGATTTGTTGCCACATCATTTTGACTATATGGTGATGATGATGAATTTCACTACATAAGAGTACTATATCCTCAAATGCTCGCACCTCTGCCCCACAATGTTTGGGTGTGGTCTCGCGAAATGTCGTCCCCACCTTTCAAAAACAGATTTACGCCTTGACAATATGCATTATACACTACACCACAAACGGATGTTAGTTGAAGGAAATCATCTTCCTATTGCTACACAAAACAATGGATCTTTCCGGAGCTAGTGTCAATCGAACTTAACTGAAATCAGAACAGTGTCAACAGGCGCACGTCTAACAAGCACACGTGTTGTGCCACGAACGCACGTGTCTGCGTAAGTTTTAACCACTGATCTCTGCATACTATAATAGCTGGATTGCTCATCTGCCAATCATTGTACAGAAAAAAGTGAAGCCACCCACGTCATTTTGGGTAGGGTGGGGGTGAAACCAAGTGCGTACCAGTTTAGACGAGTTTATTTTGGCATTTATTGAAATTATTGTTAAAAATAACGATCCTTGTAATAATTTTCATTATTAAATTTAAATTTAACTTTGGGATTTTTTTCAAATCATCTAACCACTCGACACCATTATTTATGCAGTTTACAAAAGTGCGAGCGAAGTCGTGTCGTTATAATGACGTTAATCACTAACAACACAATTAACTTTGCTTCGCTAAACTGCATTAACAGTCGCGTCGAGTGGTTAGATGATTTAAAAAAAAAAAAAACTTTTCTAAAGAGGTACGTCACTTAGGCCCCCAACATGGCGTCGGTGGCATCACTAAAACCAGTCAATGAACAATCCAGCTATCATAGAGACCAGTAATACTGTCGTTTTGTGGGACCTTAGCAACAATCTCCAAGGGGCGGAGCTTATCGAAATATCAAAATAGGTTAAACATATTCTACAATGCTGTCTGAAATTAGATGCTAGGTCTATGACCCCCTAATTTATCTTACCAAATTGAATAGAAGGGACTTCCTTAGTTTACGCTAAATTGAACTCGGTCTATATTAGAATTGTTTTAAGAATAATAACTTCCGCTATCATGTACAGATGAAGATGGTGTATTTTTTGTAGGTGACTTGGTAAAGGATGAATGTGTCCATTGTTAATACATATTATATGGCTAAAATAATGAACAATTATTTTCTATATTTTTCGCTTTGTCTACACTTTTCTAGCCAGTGCAATGCAAGAAGTTACCAAAGATTTGCGAATGGGGTTTGGGTCGTTTGTTGACAAGACAACCAGCCCATTCTACTCAGCGTATATTTTAAAGTAGGTAGTAGAAATAGTTTTGCTTAAAGACATTTTAAACTAGACTCATGAAGAACAGTATCCAGAATAAAGAAAGTTTTCTATCTATCGCTATCTAGTATTACTATCTAACCGTCCCTAATATGCTACGATAAAGATTTCATAGTTTCTTTTACTTAAAAAATACGAAATACGAAATATGAATGAACTTTATTATATTTCATTATTCATAACAAAAGAAAAGCATCTTCAGTTGGCAAACGAAGACAAAAACATGTAATAGCCTATGGATACCGTAAATGATCGAATAAGCGCCTGCTCAGCGAGGATATTATTATTGTGTGTAATGAAACAACAGTGTATAGCTCACAGTGTTATAGTAAATCGATAACACAATGAAGGCACACAAGCATTCCTTTATAAAAGTTTATTTACGACGACGAGGATTTATGATAGGCCTAACTACGGGAATGCGTGGAAAACGCCACGCCAATATTTTTTTATAAGCGCCGCACTGAAGCCTAAAAAATGCGCTTATTCGAGCATTTACGGTAAGTGTTGTAATTAGTTTTTTTTACATTTATAACTTGTTAAATATTAGATGAATTTACATTTTTCTGACTTCTGTGTTTTTTTTTCTTAAAATTGTTTTTAAACTAATTATGTCTTGAATCATGTTAAGACATAATATCGCATTAATCATGAATAAAATATCATAAATGCCAATCAAGTTAAGCTAATGTATATTGGTATGTAGGGCAACTGTAGAACAGATAATGAGATCATAATTGTATTATTAGTATAACCTCGATTGTTAAAATGTCGTTGCGTGTATGTATGACCATGGTATTAGTGTGTGTTGTGTGTAATGAATAGAGGTGTTAACTTTCTAGTTTCTCAATTTTAACTGTATTAAAGAACAGTCCAACATTTTTTTTTTCAAAAGAACATAATGTTCTAATGCAAATTAAGTTTTATTAAAATCGGATGATCGCTTAACTACGAAGAAGGAAAACGAAGTGTCCACATGTTGCTAAGTTCAGCTGTTGAGGGCAGGGCGATGTAGAAGTAAACGGTGAATATGTAATAAGTTAAAGCGCAAACATTCTCAAAAGAGCACAAATATGTGACAGATCCTAATTCAAAGCAACTTAAAAGGCTATAATAATTAATAACGGATAAAAGGAACGCTCACCTATAAATAATAAATATAAATAAATAACCTAATAAATAAGAAACATTCCGAATTAAAGGTAAGTCATAATTTTTTTAAGTTAAATTTTTAGTTACAGTTCAAAACGGATTAAAGAAAATGTGACATTACCAACACGGAAAACTATCTAGGCCTACTTCCTAATTTCCTTATTGATAAACCAAAATTTCCTTGTTGATAAATTAAGATTATTTAACGTTGATTTAAACATGGTTCTACTTTTTTCCTTATTTGATAAACCAAAATTTCCTTGTTGATAAATTAAGATTGTTTAACGTTGATTTAAACATGGTTCTATTTCTCTAGTGGGTTACCTTTAAGGGGGCGTGTGGTGGAGGCATACCTCAAAGCTCTTCATTGTTTTCCTTAATTATCTTAAAGCCGGAGTGCCCTGCATAAAATAATGTGAATGACATAGGGATAACCATCAATTCTAAACAAAGTTTGAATTCAAAATACACTTTGTGTGTAGGCCTAATTGGCTTCGATGGAGTGCATAGTTCCATCGTAGATAGTTAGAATATAGAGTGTATGTATTTCCGAGATGAAATAATAACTTTTTTTTTTACCACAAAAGCATGTGTAGGTCTAGTGGGTGCACAGACCCTTATGGATATAAACATTCAATTAGTCTCATCGATAATATCACGCAATTTGATGTAAGTATTTATGTTTTTATATTTTTAAATCAATCATCACTCCACACCATAAGAATTGTCATGAGATTGTACTCACATTGTACATACACATTTTACCTACTTATTGTTTGCACATTTATTTATTTGTTTATTTTTTTTTATTCGTTCGTCCTTCCTTCCTTCCTTCCTTTCTTTCTTTGAAGATACGAAGTGCTTTTCTCTCAGGTGATTGTTTCCACATGCCTAAGTGTTGCTGCTGTAGTCAGGAGCAGACAGCTCCACAAAACGCATGTATACTCTTAGATGGAGAGCAGTAATAATGCCTTGTTTGAAAACACAAGCGAAATGCACATTAAAGGTTGGGTTGGGACACCAAACCGTTCCAGCTGGGCCAAACAGCTTTTACATACACCCACACCACTCCTACTTACAAACACATTTATTTTCTTAAATTATTTGTTGCCCAGGCTTTGTTGCGACAAGAGACAATATCAACAAGTGTGGATGCCCCTGAAGGAGGAGGAGATGCTCTAATGCAGGCCATTGCTTGTTCGGTAAATATAAACTAAAACAATTCATTATTATTATTATTATTATTATTATTATTATTATTATTATTATTATTATTATTATTATTATTGAATATTGTTATTGTTATTATTATATTATTAGAAAGTATCAAATTTAGTAGCATGTTTATTGAATATCGGTAGATATAATAGAAATAGGCCTAGAATTTTGTTATTAGAATATCAGGCCTATTAATAATATGGTTATACATTATTCATTCATACTATTAGTGGTTAATGTTATAATTAATTTTATTTATAAAAAATATATATCCTTACCTTTATTGCTATTTTTGTCATTATTATCTAATCAATACGCGATTATTACCGGATTTTGTTTTTACTATAAAAATGACTACACAATAAATGATAAATATAAAAACCACACATTTTATCGTACTGACGAATACTATTGTACTTGAATTATAAACACAGTTAAAAATACTCCAGGCTAAACGAAAAAATATGATTAATATTGAATTACATACGTAAGGTATTGCGGTTTTCTTTTTAGTAAATACTATTAAAATAATGGCATGTTCCCACGTAGTCTATTGTAGTTATAGAAAATATTACCAATCAGCAGTGATACAACGAGATGTCATATTACACCCAAATATGGGCTTATCATATTGGCGATCATTTTATTCCTAGACCACATTGTGAAATTTTTAAAAACTGTTTTAGCTATTATAAGGTTCCGAATTTATATAATTCTGTTCCAAATTACAAATTCTATTCGTTTATGTACTACATTTGCTATTTTAAAACTTAAATTTAAACAATATATTTTGTAATTTTTCTTGTTATTCTTTTTATAACGTTTTTAATTAATGTATTTTCAAATTTTTAACAAATTGTCATTTATATCTGAGTTTTGTTTTTTGATTTTTGTATTGTATGAGGGCCCCTAATGATCAGCATGCTGGATGGGTCAACCTCTTGAAATATGGTATTAAATAAAAATTAAATTTAAAAAATCACTTTTGTGACAAATGTCAAGTAAAATTTTGTTCTGTGGACAGAGCTTATGGCCAAAATCATAATGACTTAATAAATAATAGAGCCGTAATCATTATATAGTTATATTACATTGTGTCTTAGAGACAAAGTTTTCCTTCAGATCCCAGGCCTACTTACATAGTTTCCTAAGTCTGGTTTAAAAGGCTTATAGAGCCTGAGTGTTATTAACAAACGCTATTATTAATTCCAGTCATTTAATATTATGTATTTCTGGTTCAATAAAGAATGAATGAATGAATGAATGAATGAATGAATGAATAAATGAATGAATGAATGAATGAATGAATGAATGAATGAATGGAAGGATGGATGGATGGATGGATGGATTGATGAATGGACGGAGGACGGACAGACGGACGGATGAATGGAAGGACAGACAAACGGACAGACGTTACAAGACACATTCTTCTTTTACCAAACAGTTTTTACTTAAGTCGTTAAAGCTCAACGTTTCGTAACTAGTCCTACTTCACTCAGCGGTATATCTTTTTTCGTTATACATATATTCTGAGAGGGCATTAATCTTTTTCACTTTATAACATTTAAAAAATTGCATAATTTTTTTTTAACGATAGGAACAAATCGGATGGCGTCCTAAATCACGACATTTTATCATTTATATGTCAGATGCAGGTTTCCATTACGCCCTTGATGGAAAGGTAGCGTATGATTCAAGATTAATTTATTTATTACCATATACATTATATATATGTATATATACATATATATATATATATATATATATATATATATAAATCAAGATAGATTTGAT